ACATCTCACATTTATTGTGCTGTTTAGTTTTGCATTCTGTTTGACTTTGTATTCTGTTTAACTTTGCACTTCCTGCTCATTTTTTGCTTTGCATTTTCTGTTTATATCTACTCATCTACTTCACTTATTTTTCTTTGCTTATAGCTATGGGTTTACATGTATTTCACTTCTTTGGCTCCAGTCCTAGTGAGGCCGATTGTGTTGTCAATACCCCGCTCCCGATACTACACCTCCCAATTCGAGCTGCGCCGCCATGTAGACCGAGACTTCCCTTACTTCCATCGTTTCTTTGACACCATTATCGCGGATCAGGTAACAAAATATTAGTCTTTACATTTACTATTTCCACACTGTTGTTTCCATACTGTTGTTTTCATACCCATGATATTTGACATTTAGCTTGCATCTTCTATTCACAGGTTGACTGGTACCCTTGGGCGGGCATCCCTTAGGCAACGAGGTTGACTTATGCTGCTGCGTGGAAAGCCTCCACCATGCGGATCCTATTTGAGGGCCCTTTCGACAGGGCATAGTAGGGGCCAGGTCAATCCTGACATCTCACATCCTCCTCCTTCTAGGATGAGGATAGTTGATGATCTCGACGATGGGCCCCAGATCGATCACCTCATGCAGGGAAAAGACGGTGACCGGTACCATGAGCCTGGCGACTTCATTGCCTTCTTACAGACTCGAGGATCACCAATCTGCGATCCCTCTCCTCAATGTGCTCAAGGGGGATCTGCTCAATCACCTCATCTAGTCGCATGTATACAACCTCAGTAGGAATCACCGGAAGCCTAGGGACGGGAGCTGCAGTAGGAACCCCTCCAGTAATAGCAACGACAACCTCAGGAAGTACGCAAATCACACTCTGGGTAAGAGGTGCCATCAACAGGTACACATCTCTCAATATGCTTGCCCACTGTACTTTCTCACTTTCTCTCCATTGTGCTTTATTACTTACTGTCCACTGTGCTTACTTTTTGCCCACTGTACACCATTATCTTGTTTTCATATTCTTAAATTTTTCCGCTTTTGCAGGTATCTACGAGATATGTGGATGGCCTTCTTCGGATAGTTGACAGACTATTTCTGATGGTGTGAAGGAGGCAGACAGCTCTAGCCACCCATGAGATCGAGGTACACCTTGCCCCTAGTTTACGGTCATTACAATCTCGTCCATAATTCTGTTGGTCTCTTCTGATATCTATACTCTTTTTCAGCTTGAGCCAGCACCAGTTGCACCTGCAAAATCTCCTCCAGTTAGAAGACAAAGATGGGGCCCAGTGAGATACAGAGGAGGGGCTGATCGAGGGAGAGGTCGAGTGAGACAGCGCTCACCCTCCGAGGAGTCCTGTAATGAGTATACAACCCCCAAGGAGGAGGGGAAAGAGGTCGACATGCAATCTAGCAGCCCCAATGATGACAGTGATGCACCTCCTCCACAGCCGAGAAGGAAGAGAACAAGGATGGGTTGCTGATTTTCTTTACTTTTATTTTGTTTTGTAATTAGGAACTATGTAGGTTTAGATAGACCTATGTATTTTGTTTTTGAAGACTTTTCTTTTGTTTTTGGTCTTTGTAAACAATGATCGGGGTTGGACCTACTAGTTTATAAAAAGAAAGATTTTTACAATGATCTCCTTGCATAATATGTGATGAATGGCGTAATCTTTGTGTGGTAACTTTGTACAAGACTTTAAAACTGCAAATACTTGCTCTTGCATTCATCCTTGGAGCAAATAACAACCCACAACCGGGCAAAATATAAACTACAACTCGATAACAGAAAAGTACAATAAAAACGACTCAAAAACACTAGAGAATACTTGATACAAACAAAACAAAACAAAACCCAAAATACAACTGGAGTATACCAAGGCAAAAGCCAGTCATTTTCTTGCAACCTGCTTTGTCTGGCCTACATTTAGACCTAGGCGGGTCCAAATAGGCACGGTTGGGCTTCAATAAGGCACAACCAAGCCCAAAAATGATGTCGGTGAATGCAGTCCAGCTGTCATGCACTGCCTCTTCCCAAACTTTATAAATGTTGCTCCCCATGCTGTTTTTATGGCAGCATAGAAAGTCTTTGGTATTTTTCTCTCAAGATGGAGATGCTGCTCAAGAATCGGCTCTGAGACTGGGTAGCCACTCTAGACGGCTCGAAAAAGGTGAACTTTCGCAGTTTTGGCCTAAACGCTCTTTTTTTTTAGCCGTACTTCGCTTTATTTTCCGTTCCTCCATATCGCTGTTCGATGTTGGAACCCGATCACACATGTATTTCGCTTCAGATCACAAGAAATGTGTCTGACGTTCGAAGAATTTCAAGCATTAATGGAATCCTGGTGTGACGAATAAATCATGCCTCAGCCCCGTTTTGGCCATGCTCAGGCTTTGGGACGGATGTGTGGCTCACTTTACACAAGGCTCAATCCTTGGCCCATGATGGGGAGTTGGACATCCCAGGTTTGATTCATCGGTTTTCCGCCATTGGAGACAGAGGCGATTTCCTTTGGTGTGGTTACCGGCAACATGCCCTCTGCTTATGCTTACTCACACACTTCTTTCTTGTCCTTAGTTGCGGCGGAGCTAGCATTAGGTTGATTGAGGTGGCTCAATGCCTAAAAGAAGGCAAGAGCTGCATTGGTCTGGCACTGGTCGAGACCCTGATGGGTTTGGATGCCTTTCATCGGCGAGAGACTACCCAATTTGCAGGGAGTCCGCTGCTTCTTCAGGTATTGTTTCCCACCCTTTCTTATTTATGATTCCTCGTATCACTTGGCACTCACTCTCTATTTTCATCTCTAAACCCCTTTTTTCTTACTTTTCTCTCAACGTACATCTCTCTATTCTTCAATCTCTCTTATTTTTCATCCATTCCCAGGTATGGCTCACGGATAAGCTGAAAGTAGTGGACCCTTACCCCGAGTACTTGGCCAAAGCTTACTTTTTCTGCCAAAGGCTAGTGGACTTCCCTTCAGAAGGATGGTGGTGCGACTGGATGTGCAGCAGATCTACAACTGACATAACTTGGCGTTGTCCCTAGCTTAATGTGATTGAGATGAGCTACAACATGTCTCGCCATACAGTTGATTGGCCTCACGCACTGCGTGTTCTATTTTCCATTTCGGTTCAAACACTAATTTGGACATGATCAGACTTGTCCAAAAGAAGAGGTGGAATACCCAGCTTCATTTCCTATTCGTGGTTCACACTTTCCTTGGTACCTCACTGCTTGGAGGACAAGAGAGCTTTTGGCCCCAACCCCTAGCTTCAGCTACGCCCTCTCAGGCGAGTACTTGGCTTAGCTTAAGGACGAAGCACAGGTTGGGCCAACTTTGGCTGTAGAGACTTCCGCAAGCACGAGCAGAGGACGCAGGAGTACCTGACTTATCTATGCCCCTAGTTTATTGTTTCTTTTCAAGTTTTATGATGTAAAAACAACTTTGATTTTTATTAGAGAGTTGAAGAATGCACTTGTGTTGAAATCAATGGAATTAAAGTTGTGAGCACTAAAAATTTTTCTTTTGGTCTCAAAATGGTCTAAGTTGTAAAAGGGTAAAATTTTGAACAAAATCAACTTTTATTAAAAATTTTCAAAACAATTTTCGAAAATGCTCATTACCTAACATGCACGGAATCAGCCCTCAAGATATAAAACCCCAAATCAACAGATTGTAACTGCACAGTTGCATTCATCATCATTGTTCTGTCTTCGAATTGGCCCTTCTACCAAAATAGAGGTAACACAACCGAAATAAATAATGATGGACAAAGATGACCTGATCAAACAGATGAATAGGACAGTTGAGCTGGAGATGGTTACAGCCGAACTTTAAGATGAAGTTGCCTACGTATCCCAAAAATGGGAATTAGGCCTTACGTAGTTCGGTTCAGGTTCACTCGAGTATTAACTCTTACCTTTTGCTCTCTAACTTTTGTCAAAGTCACCCTTTAGGGTTTTTAATCTTGCGAGCTAAGTTTTTCTTTATTTCTAATTTTTCATGCTCTAACTTTTGCCTAGGTCACCTTTCTGGGTTTTTGGCCTAGCAAGCCTCTCAAGGATAGTATTTCTTTAACTTGTCCATATTGATCGGCTATGAAAACTCCAAGCCATCCAGGTCCATGAGAATAATCGCCCCTCCTGACCAAATAGATTTGATGGTGTAAGGACCAGTCCAATTAGGTTTGAACTTGCCCCAAGGTCGCGGATGGGAGCCCGGTTGTCTTTCAGTACCGTGTCTCCTTCCTTGAGATTCCTGGACTTAACTTTCTTGTTAAAAGCCCTAGAAACACTACAAGAAATTGCATTTTTCGCAACGCAACAAAATATGTTGCTAAAAGGGAAAATTCGTTGGCAAAGAGTTTTGCCGACACACAAAGCTACGTTGGCAACCCGTAGGCAAAAGTGAGTTGGCAAAAGTTTTTGCCGACGAAATTATCATTGCGTTGGTAAAAGTAATACCTTTAGCGACGAACATAGTCGTCGCTAAAAGCCTCCATCCATCGTCGGCAATTTACCTTGCGTTGGTAAAAGTCATTCAAATATGATAATTGTGTGACACTTTTCGCGACACAAATTTGCATGGGCAAAAAATATACTTTTAGCAACAACATATGCGTCGGCAAAAGTAAACTTTTGGCGACACATTTAAGTCGGTAAATGTTGCCATTTGCCGACGATTTGTTTGTCGCTAAAGCTTTACTTTTGGCAACGACAAATTGACATTGGCAAAAAATACACTTCTACCAACACAATATGAGTGGGGAAAAGTAACTTTTAGCGACACATTTACGTCGGTAAATGTTGCCATTTGCCAACGATTTGGTTGTCGATAAAGCTTTAGTTTTGGCAACGACAAATTGACATTGGCAAAAAATACACTTTTAGCAACACAATATGAGTAGGCAAAAATAAACTTTTGGCTACACATTTACCGACAAATTGTTTGTCGAGAAAGCTTTACTTTTTGACGACGACAAATTTGCAGCGGCAAAAATAATTGAAACTCATTTATAATTTTTTAAAAAATTTACAGTTTTACAAGAGGCATCCCTCAGGCACCACTATAACAAACTAATAACAGTGATATGAAATCACACAAAATACCCCCTCCATACCCTTCCAGCCAAAACACCAGCAGTTGCCCGAACTTACACCTAATGACAACCCCCATTAATGAAAACCTAATCTATTACAGATTGGACAAAAAGTCCTACACCCTTCCAAACATCAACAACACCAGCAAACATCCAACAACAACACCGCAGCACCTCATCGTAACAATCACCATCACAGCAGCATCACCACAGCATCTCAACAACAGCAGCAACATCGCAGCAGCACCAGAAGAATAGCAAATTAGTATAGCAGATCAGCAAACTGATGCAACAGAGATCATCACCAGTTCAGAAAACCATTTCAACTCAACAACCCAAACAAAATCATATAACCAAATCAGAATTGACGCAGCAATTAACCTTATTTACCAGAACAGTCAGAAAACAAATCAAACAAAACCAGCAACAAAACTATACAAAATGCTCAGAAATCAGTTTACCATGTTTGTCATCCATCAATTGTTCAAACAGCCCTCAAAAATATACAATTCTTAGTAACTTTTAAGCCATCAGGTTAATAGAAGTTAAGTAAAAATTCAAACTAATTCACTGGCTGTCATGTTTACACTAGGAGAGTAAGTTATATAAAAACACTCAATTCAAGTACACCACAATGTTTACCAAGCTAACCTTATACCAATGCACTGGAAACAGTAAAAGTAACTAAGCATTGAGATTGTCCATACACCACAATGTTCACTGATGGCTCTCTTCACTGCTTTAGAATGTGACTGGTGCACTGAAATATGAAACAAAGTCGAATCATTTCACTCAAAACCATTAGTGGCAAATTTATTACACTCAAATCATTAAATTAGTCATGAGAAAGTCAACAAAATGCTTCTATAATGAAGGTACCAGTAAACAAGATCAGAAACATTGACCTCCTTCCCCCACCATCTGCTAGTGGGGAAAGAAGAAAAAATATATATATATCCATCCCTACAATAAAATACCCGAGTAATGCACAATTAAAATCTTGAGATTGTTAACAACTCTCTCCTTGTATTCCTTGCCGCTTATTCTAGCTTCTGTAGGAAGCAGGTCTAGCTTCAATGGAGTCTGCAATCAATCGGAAGATGGTCACACGAGGGTGAGGAAGATAAGAGGAAATTTATGCACCCAACAGACTGATCTATAAAACCAAATAGACAATAAACCAGCTAGCAAGTTTCAGGTCATAAAATATGCTTAGTATCTCACACATAGAACAAT